CACGCTCGTAGATTGTGAAGTTTTCTATCAGTGGTTTTACCTTTCTCAATGCTTTGTGTGGCACAGAAATACCCCCCTTCGATTCAAGTTCACCCACTATTTCCTCCGTTTTCGCTGGATATCTGCAGCCAAGGAACTTCATGTTCGCCCAAACCATAGATAAAGCTTCTCGCTTATCCTCTGGAAAATTATCTTCCAATTTTTCAATAAATTGTGATCTTAAATTCCATTGTAAGTCACTTTCCCAAATACATCTTTTTGCCGCCATTTTGAAATCTTACAGACGCGGTTACCTGGCTCTTTTTGAGATATCTGCTGACCACCTTTATTGGGTTTTCCAAGATGGCCGCTGATGCATGACGAGTAAACATGAAGGGTGTCTGTTTTTTGAAGCTAGATTCTCGTAAATTTCTCGTTTTTAGCAGATGTATACCCAATTCATCATTCCGCAGGAGCTTGAAATACCTCTCCTCGCTTCCTCATTTTGTATATTCGGAGGATCTTGGCTTTTATCGAGCGAGATTATACAAACCCACAAGACTACGTAATTATTTTAGCCAAAAGACTACTGGACAATCCAAGAAACAAGAAGAAGTACGGGATACCGAGTTATTAGATTCCACCACTCATCAGCATCACACTACCACCATATTACAAAGATTACAAGATCTAGAAGAGTCGTTTCGTGTTCAGGGACATTCTATCTTGAGATGGGGCTTAAGTGCACTTGTCATTTCGGGATTTTTTATTTACATTTTCCGTGAACCACTCAGGGAAAATGTGGCAGACGAAGTAGCAGATGTTGCTAGCAGATCTCTAGGTAAGGAAAATATGAAGAAAACTGACTTTGCAAGACTTACAGGAGGGGTCCAAAATTACCCTCTCCTCCCCTCCCATATTGTGATGACTTGTCATGAAATGCCACGGATTTTTAGTCGCCTTTTAACCGACTAGACCATTTGCTTTCATTAAAACCTGTTAGCCGACAGTGACGAATGGAACGAGAGTGGGCCTTTAGGTTTTTTCGTGTTTTGGTTTGTTTTGTTTTAATTGTTTGTTTGTTTGTCTTTTTGGGGGGAGGGGGTGGTAGGGTATATGGTTAGTTTGGGATTGTATTTCTCCCTTACTCTGGATCTTACGTTCTCATTCATGTACTGTCTGATGATACGTTTCCTTATTTAGCTGACGAGAATGTTATACATAAGGCTAACGAAGTCACGAGAGCCGTCCTCCAAGATATTCTTCACGATCCGGAAATCACTAAACTGGCTGGTGCTTTCGTGATGCATGTCCTCCACAGAGAAGACGTAAAGTCTGCCGCTATTCAGTTAACCCAACACGTCCTCAACGATCCTTCGACCCTGAAGAAGATCAATGAACTTGCCAAGAGTACGCTTTTGAATCTGATGGTGCACGAAGAAACCAGAGCTTTAATGTTGAGCTATATTAAGGCGCTGATTCTGGATAAAAGCACTAAAGATGCGTGTAAAGTCCTGTTGGCGGAGCTCGTGAAGGATCCGGATGTGAAAGGATTTATGGCAGCGTCACTTGGTGATCTGGTGACGTCGTCTGTTGTTAAAAGCAGTGCTGCGGAACTTGGCAAAAGCGTCACGCATGAAGTTGTCAATGACGCAATAATTCAGCAAGAGACTGGGAACTTTCTGTGGAGAGCCTTTAAGAACACTATCACCTCCGGATGGTTTGGCTAAGGGATAGAGGATGATATGGCAAAAAGTGATGAAAGAAAAAGTGTTTCATCGAAAATTATTTCTAAATTTCGTGTACTTAACAGTTTGACTGGCAAGCCTTATTTAGGACATTAAACGACAAGGCAGTCTGCTTTTTCCCAGGAAATAATTACAAAAAGATTTCAAAGAGAAGTGCTGTTATTGAAAAGTTATTCGATTTACTTGTACTTTACAGTTTGACTGGCGGTTTAAACTTTTTTTTAGGAAATTTAGGCCACAAACAGTCTTTTTCTTAGGTTCATTGGGTGAGAAACATTTTTAAAAAAAATATATGAAAATGCATGTGGTCACCGAATTATTTAAGAAAAAAAAACGTGTCCATTCGCATTTCTTATCTCATCGCCATCGCCATGTTGTTGCAGGTATATCGTCACGATATATCTTGTATTTTAACGCAGAAAAAATGCCGGAGAAAGATAACTTTATTTTAAATACATTATCATATGTAAGTGACTTGAAAATTACATCGACAGATGGGCGTCCAGAAAAAGAAGGCAAAGGAATATTAGAAATATTAAGTTTATCCGAGGAAACCTATATGCTTTACTGTTGAAGGATAAACGTATTTTCAGTTAATACATTTAAGATTATGGGAAATACTTTTTTAGACGCAAGGCTGCGAGTATAACAATTTTTTTGTCTAAAGGTGCACGGTAGCTTTTGCCAACAAACCTCTGGCATAAGGGTATTTGAGTCAAAGATCATCTATTACACCTCACATATTTGCTGTGTGACTATTTTTTTCACAGAATACGCGAAAAAACGTTTGTCACGTTTTGAGGACCTGGGTGGTATCTCCTGTAAACGGAGAAATCTCAAATAGATGCTTCGCAGCTCGAGGAGAGATCCTGGGTAATTCCGCTTCCTCTGTTGACTTGTCAAGGAAAGGAAGAAAAAAAATTTTTTACCCGTTTGCTGTAAATTGCAATATTGTATGAATATGGGAAATGTTAAGAAATGAACAGGCGAAGTAAGGCTCACTCCCAGTCTTTTCCGCAGTCATTTAAATCGCGTTAGTGGCTACTTACCACATGCCGCGTGACCGTGGGCTCAAACAAAGTAAAATTACTATGCCAACTTGAAAGCAGGATTTTCTTTATTATCAATTAATAACCCCGGTTAACTGAGCCCTCGTAACTGTCTCGAATTTGGGCAGATCCAATTAGCTGATGTTAGGGAGCAGTCATTAGTTACAGGTACCTGTGCGGAGGCCATTCAAGACCTAACCAAGGCGAATAAATATTTAAGTAGTAGCGGTTAAAGCTATCACATAATGACGGTATACATGACAATCAATTTGCCTTCTGAAATATCACCGACATCGTTTTGTTGCAGGTAGTTTGTTCGCAGTGTTAACTCCTGACTACGAGTTGAGGTTGCAAATGCAAGCGTTTAAGTTTGAGTTCACTTTGATGCACTAACGTCACTGTATTGCTGCATACAGTCTACAGCTTGAAACTCTTATCAAGTTCATCGTGTTCTGGAGGAGTGTCCAAACCAGATAGGAAATTGACGCAAGTTAATGAAGATAGAGTGTTTACTAAGATCGCATCTGAAAAGCAAGTACTCATGTTCAGTGTAATGGAAGGTAAATAACTTTTTATGAGGAGGAAATTCTCACTGATTTTGCTGTACGCTTCAGAGATACAAGCAATTTTGATCGACATAGCTGTGGGCTGCAAGTTACACAAACAAACGCAGTCTTTCCCAGCAGGTATAGTTTGTTATCATTTTCACCTAACACACCGAAGCTATGGAAAAAACTGAGAACGATTCAAACATTATCACGAATCGCACAAGTTCCGACATTCTTACGTGCTCTATTTGCTTGGAAAGTGTTCGCAAGCAACGAGCGAGCACCCACCAAAAATGCGCCGCTGCCTTCTGCGAGTCGTGCCTTGGCGCCTACATACGATTAGAAATAACCCAGGGGAAATGGAAAGTTGAATGCGCGAACTGCAGCTCGTTGCTTGCTAAAGAAATAATCCATAAGTTCTTGGAGGAGTACCCTTTACTTCAAGAGCATTTCACTCGTCTGGTAGCAGATGCGAACCAAGATCCTCTGGTCAAAACATGTCCAAATTGCGGCGGAAGAAAACGCGTTAAGAATCACAAAACAAAACGAGTAGCGTGTGAAGAGTGTCATTTCGACTGGTGCTTTACATGCCATGCTCCATGGCATAAATCAATGAGCTGCAAGGACTTTAAACGAGGAAACAAGATGTTTAAAAAATGGACGAAAGACACCACCGAATGTGGACTCGTAAGCAGTAGACGTTTACGATTAAGGTTTGAATGAAGCTAACCGTTCATTTTTAAAATTATCTCATAATTGCAAAAGTAACTTTAATACAGACGACAAAAGTTACACCCTAACAACTTCATGTCTGTTCGAACAGCTAAATCGTATTTAACCAATTGCAGTTTTCCTCAGGCCATCCCAGTAAACTTTAAAAAGATATACTGTATTAATAAAATTTTCAACTTTTATCATTCATTCGATGTCTATTTGTCACAGTGTTATTGCGATGTTCTCACGTTTTACATTGTTAATATTCTTTTTAACTGCCGAGGTCTCCTCTACATCACTGGCTCTCGAAAATGAAGTATTTTTCCAAACAGGCCTTTAGAGAACAAACCAAGACTAACGAGGAGAATCTGCCTGCCTCGGTAAAACTTGCGTTGGATACTCAAAGAGAGTATATTTCTCATTCCTGATGATGCCTGACAAGTTCCATAATATTATGAGCTGCTAATACGCGAGTCTTTACTGCCCTTTCCTACGCTGTCTTTCGTTGGCGCACATGAAATGCTGCATTGATGGTACCTTATCTACACAGCCCGTAATTAGGTGAACATATCTGCGGGTTACGTCACTAATTCTACGTCCTTAGAATCCCGTGGAGAATTCTGCTTCGTACTGTGTAAGGCTGCGTTGTCAAGGTTATGCTGTAACGTAAAAAATACCAAAACAGTTTTAGGTTACAAAATAATACAGTCGTCACTTCTTTCCGATTCCGCTTTGAACTCTAGCGCATTTGATCACGTAAAACGAGCTTGTCAGAGTCGTAAAAGGCAGCCAAAGAATAAAATAATCACAATGCACTTCAAGTGCTTGTGATTCTAATAATCGAGTTTTTACCAGATTATAAGCGACGGAGTCATAGGAGGCATCAGTATTCTGCTTCTTATTCCCGTTCCATTTGCCAATTTTTCGCGATCATACCTCTCTACGCCCTGTGAGATAACGACTCCGACATAACTGAAAACCAGCCTTAAATAGCTTACCTGAAGTACATGCAACCCCGTCAGCGAAGCCACGGCGAGTTCCTTCAGTCCGTCATTAGTTAGATCCAGATATTCAATGGCAAACAGAGGACTCGCAAAACTTCTCCTCCACATCAGCTGAAAACCAATGCTGTTTGAACCGTTCCCTGTATTGTCTAGAGGGACACACTTAAAGATGAGAAGTTCCTATTTAATAAAGAAAAAAAAAAGGTTGTTTCACCAGTATTCCAAGGTTTCATGAACATTACAGGCCACTGGGACCTAGTTCCTCAGTTTTACTGCACTAACTATCGATCGCAAAGTTCACATTTCCAAGACGTTTTCTGCAGAACAACAACGTGAAATCGTTAAATTTTTCCTTCCTCTATGTACGAGGAATGCGAGGGCAAATCAATCATGTCTCTCCGTGCTTGTAATTTAACGCTGCTTCCACAAAATAAAGTCTTCGAGGCTTCGAAATTCTCACCAGCGGTCTACCGCAACGTGTAAGACCAATCGCCGCCGTATTTTGAGTCTGCGAGCAGGCTCTTGAGTTTTAATCGCTCTGACGAATGGCTAACGCTCGAAAAGTCAGCTTTTATAAGGTGGCCAATTTACGTTTTCAACTCAGTTGATAACACTAAATTACCATACTTTACACCAATCGCCACCTGACAAATGTTAATTCATTTTTAATTTTTAGTGGACGTTTTCGCGGGCGTTGCCGCTATTATTAGTCAGACTACCGGACAACCTCCTTGTCGTCGTGTAGCGTTCACCTGTCCATATGTTCCCAAGATTATTTCGTTCTTTCCGTCCCAGTTGACGTCAGCGATACATGTACACGTCACACAATCGAATTCGTCCGACTCTGGTAGAATCACCATGTTAGTGAAACCTTGACTAATTATATTGCTGTGAACCAAAAAGAAACATTTAGTTAACACACATTTCCTCTCGGCAATAAAATTTAAATCTAGAATGAGAACTTAAGTTCAGTACTTATTGCTGAAGCGTATTGCGGAAGTTCCTTTGCAAGAAATTGTCAAAAAAGTTCGATTCTTGCGGTCTGCCGTTCGCTAACAAGTAGTCCCGAATTTCTTTAAGAACCAAACAAACTCCTAGAATAACTTGTCAAAACAATCATAAAGTTCTCTCGCGCAAATCACCACAGTTCTCCATTGCATAGCCGTTGTGGTTTACTTACGTGTAAACGACAGTTGCTTCAATTGCACAGCAAACCAAAAGGTGGTAATCCCTTCTTTCAAATGTTTGTCCGTTTTCAATATTTTTAGCATCTGCAAGGAGAAATGGAAACAATTCTTGTGTCAGCTTATTCTGAAGACGTCTCAAAAAGAGGTCAACGGAGTTTTGTATAGCACAGTTAAAACTTTACCGGTACCGGTAGCTTCGATGATTTTGCTCGAGTCTTGCGTAAACAATTTCACACTTGAAATAGGTCCATCACGATCCAAAGTGTCTATCTTTTCAATACCTGTAAAACAATACCAAAACAGTAAAAAAATCTGTATCAATACTGAAAAACACCGTAAAAGTTCCTCTTCCCACCAAAATGCAAAACGATCTCAGAAAGGAAGATGAAAATAACAATCAATTAGGCGAATAAAGTACGACGACTTTTTCTGCCTTCGACATCGCCTCGACGAAGTTGAAAACGACCTTTTCACTCTGTCAAATATAATTTTAATCGAGAAACACAAATTAACTCCAAACGAAGTTTCCATGGCAACATACTTCCCCTAGTAAGGTCAGTCACTGCCACCTTAACGTGCCCGTTTTGACAGCCAACCACTGTTACACGCTTAGAATTGTGTAGAGTTTCCACTTCCAACCAAAGAACACTGCACAAAGAGCAAAGAATGAACAATAATTTAACGCAATCTAGACTGATACCTATTGATTTAAATACACAAAGGAATTCTAAAAGACTCCTAAGATTTAAAGCAGTGCACATAAACATCAAATCTTGAACACTGAGCGTGTGATGAAAGAAACCACTTACTTGCTTGGTAAATTTTGCAGTTCAGGAAAAAAGCTTTGCACTGGCTGCTCCTCAAACCTCTGTTGGGTCTTATCCTGCAAATTTAGTAAAGAAACTGTTTAATCCTTTACACCTCAAAATCAATATGCATATTCTCCATACTGCTTTTTACACATTTCCCAAGGTGCTGGAAAGGAGAATTTGTTTACCAATCATAAGCTTCTTTCATTGATGATCATTTCCTTAATTCTCATGACCTTAACATGTGATTCAAAGGTGATATTGTGGGGAGAAATTTGATGCTAGTCACTTTTAGGGTTTAAAGGGTTAACAGTAGGAAGTTTATAAACACAGTTGTACCAACCATAAAGTAGGTAGTCTGGGCCTTAACAATACAAAGCAAAAGTGATCCTAATTACAATGTCAAAGCAAACTCCACATGTAGTAACTGTAGGTAACAACAATTCATAAATGAAGCACTAGTGGGTTAAAGAAAGGAGCCAGGATACTCAAATTTAGCAATTTTCTCTTCCTGCCAATAAACATCTCTTTGTAATTTATTTCAAACAATTTAGTGGAAAGTGCTTGGATCGGATATCATAAAACCAAATCAACAAGAACTCAAAGAAAAGCCAAGCAAACTGCACAGGAAAAAGCTCAACAATACACAATTGCTTTTATTGTTGTATCTGATTGGTTGAAAGGGTGGTGTACGTTTTCTCAACCAATCACCAAGCAGAAAAGGGCAAATCCAAAGCAATCCCACATTATTGTTGACACTTGATTACAAATTACATGATCCAGATAACACTCTTCAAGTAATAAAAGTCATCAATCTTCGTCACTTTTTTCCTTCATATCATATCATGCTGGAAGGAGAAGTTACTTTTTTTAATCAGTTTTGGGAGTCAGAGGGTAATAGTAAAATCTGCTAACCTCACAAAACATGTGCACCTTTTCATCACTTCCACAAAGTAAAAACACAATTTGCTTTCTTTCCTTTATAACAACCCTGCCAAAGGCAAGTACAAGAATTTATTTAGTAGTTATCAACTGGGAGTGTGTGAGGTTATACCAAAAAAATTTTAAATGACATTCTAAGGTCTAGCAATGCATAACATAGCTCCAGTGATCTGTAAATCAAGTTCTCATTTTTAGATTCTTCATTGTAAAGGTCTCCATCAGTTCTAGTACATACTGCACTGACCAATGTCTTTGATGAGTCTCCATATATTTGAAAAAAATCTAAAATTATTGACTTGAACACAAAAGAGACTTCTTACTCAGCATGCGTCAGCTGGAAAGGGACAAAGTTCAATTCAAGGTGTTGACAACCCTCTGTAAAAAATGATTTGTAATATTGTAAGTAAATTGTAAATAGCTTTTAGATGAAAAAAACAAAGATTCACTGCATAGTAGATAAATCAATGTGCATTTAAGCACATTGACTGAGAAGTTACAGTAGCAGTATTGCATACATTGTATTATCAACATACTATACCTGCAATACTACCCAGTGAGAACTCTGATCTACTTTCCAAAGCTGAATAGATGTTGAGGAACTGTTTTTGGTGACTTCTAGAATTCTACAACAGAATTCAATATTGTTTAAAATCAGCCACAGAATACTCCCAGAAGGGTGATGGATAAAATTAAAGAGTATCTTTGTGTAAAAGATATCTAAATAATGTAGACATCTCAAATTAGTTGAAATTTATCTCAGTACAAATTGCAGGGATCATGGCTTTATTTGAAAGGCACCACAAGTTACTTCCTGCTTGAAGTTGTGGACTTACTTAGGCTATTGAGTAATATGCAGTACTCGTGCTCCATAGAATTTTATTACGAATAATGTTAGGTAACACCTAGGTCATAGCCACTCACTCTCATAGATCATGATGCAACTTAAGGTCAAAATCTCAAAATATGACTTTTCTTATAAAGAACTATTCATCAGAGTTTAGCTAAAGTGTTCTGCCATGATAGAAATAAAAAAACTGCACTCCCTCAAATACGTACCTTTAATAAAATTAATGATATCCCTACTACAAGTCCTTTTCTTGTCTCAGGTCTGTTAAATGCATCAATAGAAACAATTTCTGCTGAATCTGAAGGGGAAAAATGATCAACTAAACAAAAAAACAAAACAAATAAATAAATGAATAAAAGAGGGATTGCGAGAGGTGGTGATCGATGTAATCGGTAAGCAATATACAATTCCTGTGGAGAGGTGAGCGTGATTTTTATTCTTTTTCGGGTACCCTAACGACGGCCTGGTTATGATTTGGTATGATCTTAGCGCACGTTTCCATCATCAAGCACAGATTTTCACAGACCTGGGATGTAGGTGAAGGGAACCTCTTTCGAAGTCGGCACAGGTGAATTCCGTGGATATTCCAAGCAAACCACCCTGCCACTAAGGGACGCCAGAAATAGCTTTCTTTCTTCGTCGTTTCCGTCGATTTTTGTCAGACCATAGATATTCGTTTGCGAGGGGATTGGCAAGAAGTGAATTTCTTCGAAATCAAATTCCTCCTTGTCCGCCATATTTATTTCTAGTTTAGACCCAGGCCTCTCCTCTGCATAATCGATCCAGGTCTAACCTTCGTACCAGGAAAGGTGATACTGGCCTCGCTAAATTTTTTTCGCCAAAGAATCTTCTTTTTCCTCGTTGGATCGATAGTGTCTGTAGAGATATATGGGTGCTAAACTTTTTTCCGCCTCAGAAATCTAATTACATACTTTTGCTGCAGGTGATGAAAAATAACCTCGAAGAGCCATTGAGTGATCATAATTTCACAATCTTCTGGAAACTGTTCTTCTGAAACAATATATATCTTCCGTTTTAAGACGTCGCAAAGATGCATGTTCGGAAACACTAATACACCTACTACCTACTTTTAAGACTTAACACATGCGCTATCGTTTTGAGGATACTTAGCAATTATCAGCTGAATTACACACAAAGGTCTAAAGTGTTAATTACTTTTATTATTGTAACTACGTAGTGTCACTTAAAAGCACAATGTGTTAAAAAGCGCTCATAGATTCAATAGGGATAAAGCCGACTTAATTTCTTATAGAATGGAGTCACAAAGGGCAATTGAATTCTCGCACTATTTCCATGAAAATTCCAGGCAGAATTTAGCTAAATTAACGAAACTGAATCTCCTCACAGTACATATAATCATCATATAAGACCCCCGTGCTTTTCACAGCTTTTCTGTGTGACTTTGCAGAGCAAGGAGCGAACACCAAGTCAACAGGTGCAGGTTTTCGTTGCTATGCAGGCTAAACGATATATTTTAAAGCTTCCCTTTCTTTTATTTCCGATCATTCTTGTTCCTATCACGGCCCACAATTATGTGGACGGTAGAAGCGGTTTAATACGAGGAGTCCGTGTACCGGGAACTCGAGTATCATATGGCAATTTTGCAGTTGACAAGTACCATCGTCTTCAAGTATCAGTTGGTTTATCGAGCGTTGTGAGCAACTACAGAGAGTGTGCTCTGAGCTGTGTTAATAATCCACCATGTTCCTCGTTCAACGTCGCCTCATCTCCACGTTTAGACGGACAATTTCCATGCGAGTTGTTAAACGAAGATAAATACTCTGCCAGTCCAGGCCAGCTGGTCAGTTCACAAGAATATCATCATTACAGTATCAGGGTATGCATAGAATTGATTGTAAAACATTTTACAACCCCTTTTATGCAATGAAGGCTCTTTGTTTACACTTCTACGAAACCTCCTTCTTAATTTTTTTAAGTCATAATTCTCAAAACCAGTATTTTTTGTGAGATGCGAGTTCCATTTCAAATTATTTTGGCCTTGATCAAAAAAGACTCTCGAAAATTTCAGACACCATGTTCTAGCTGGCCATGTCAAAACGGTGGAAAATGCATCCCAAACTACGAAAAAGGAGAGTTTACATGCTCTTGTAAACCTGGTTTTAGTGGAGAAACTTGTTTAACAGGTTAGTCCAGAAACAATATCCTAAGAAATAAGCATTAAGTTGTTTTTTGCTATAAATGTCGGTAGTAGTAGCTGTTTTGCTCTGAGAGACCAGCAAACTGAGACTTTTCAGAGTAGAAAAACGTAATTTTGATTCTATGCAAAGCTATGTTGGGACTTTTCGCTGGGTATATACTATTTCGTTCAAAGGCGAAAAACTTAAGATCTTTAGTCGGAGATGCTGTCTCTCCTCACTACTTTATGTCATTTATTTAATTCATTAGCAGAGTGCTCTGCTTATCATCAGGGGGTAGGGGAAAGGGTCCAGAGAGGGGGAAGGAGAGGAAGGTGTCAGTGAGCTTGTAAGTGTAAGCATAGTTCAGAGTTGACAGTGAAAGCCATTTCATTCTTCTCACTCAATGATTATCCAAACCAACTCCTTTCAGATATCGACGAATGTTCATCAAACCCTTGTGAAAATGAAGGTACCTGTGTCGACCAGGTCAATGACTTCAATTGCGTTTGCCAACCAGGATATGAGGGAAAAACTTGTCATAAAGGTTGTATATATTTTTGTTATTATGGCATAGTACTCTACAGAGTGAACATTTAAGAGCAAAAAAGATGTCTGGTATGAACTCCCACTTTCTCTCTACTCCAAAATGGCACCAAACAGAACCAAGAGGAAAAAAAATATTTTAAAGTTCAAGAGGGAAAAGTTCATCATTCAAAGTTATCGCAAATATTTTCCTTTTGGTTAACATGAAGCTGAAAGCAGAGGATCAAAAAGTTGCATATTTTTTGTTTACGTAACTGCGTTGCCTATCCTCTCTGGAGACAGTTCATTAGGCTTCGTTTCGCTTTCGACCTTGTGTCATTGATAGACTGACATGTCTCTGGCTGAAATCATTATCAAGTGAATATCATACAGAAGCAAAATCTAATTCTGACTGCAGACCCAATTTTGCAGAGGAAGGAATTCGAGATAAGGGGTAGAACTAAGAATTTAATACGCATTGTTAGCCATTGTTACAGGGAAGGGATGTCGAGATGTAGAATTAACACGCTCTGCGAGCCTATTTTGCGGACAAAGGACCTCGAGATTACGATTGAAACTAAGGATTTATTTTTCCTTGCATGCCTATCTTGGCCCCTCGCAGAGAGAAACGAATGTGCCAGCGATCCTTGTCAGAATGGGGGCATTTGTATAGACCAAGTCAATAGATACACCTGTCAGTGCAGAGCTGGAACAACTGGAGATCACTGTGAGATAGGTAAGGTATGACTAACTATGCCACAGGCTATTAGGCACCTGCTAAAACCGGCGCCATCCAAACGAAAGGAAAAAATTTATGGGAGGGACGAAGGCAATCTAATGTTAGGTCAAAAATAATGAAATCTCAAATTAACGTTTTTAGCGTTTCCGATCGAGCGTTTATTCAAAGACGACGTGTTTTTGACGGCGGTGTTTGTTTCTTAATCCCACGTATTAAATCACGGACAATTTCCATAACCTATTTTGAAATACTATGTAAAAAAAACATATATCCCGCTTTTTTGCTGAGATGGAGTAATTATTGACTGGTTATGAAATGAATAACAACGTATGGGCGGCTGCAGTTGCGGTCTGGGGAAGTTGCTTGTATAAAGTCTCTATATCAATGATAATAATTATGATGATAATAATAATAATAATAATCTAGCAGTGGACATTCTCCTGTCCTCTGTTTCCAGGTCGAACTAGAATGTTTGTTTTTACCGAAGGCGACCCGGATATAACCTCTCGGAGCAAGGACGAGAACGAAAAACAAACTCAATCTATAAGTGACACCTCGTCCGGGAATCGAATCCGGGCCACACCAGTGGGAGGCGAGCGCTCTCACCACTGTGCTGTCTCCGCTCCCCCTATTACTTACAGCCTCATATTCAACTCTGTTTCGCTTTCAGATGTAGATGAGTGTTCCAGCAACCCATGTGCCAATGGCGGAACTTGTGTAGATTCCGTTAATGGTTACTTGTGTCAGTGTGCTGAGGGATTTGCCGACACAAATTGTAGCAGTTCTGGTAAGCCACTTAATTAAACGGGCATCATACTACAGCTACTACCAAAATTTCGCATTAACCTTTTTTATGTTGGTGGAACATTTTCAAGATTTGACAGCAATTTAGCTCCATAGATATGTTGTACATTTATTGACCAAGTTTTTTCGGTTAACATTACTGGATTATGGCGAAAATGTTCGTATTTCGGGGTCAGAGTCTTGCAATCCTGAGCTGGCAAGCTCGGTCAGTTATAACTAAGAATTTCTGTTAGGAGGCCAAACCCACCTTCATCTTTAAGTTTAATTTTCTCCACGAATGTAGGGCAGGCACCACCGGATAATTCCATCAGAGAGTCATATCACCCCATTTGCTTTATTTAGCCAAGATCTGAATGTCTCTGTGGACATTTACTACATACTGTTAAACGTATTGCACTAGGGGTACTCTTTGGACAGAAAAAGTGTCTCTGGTGGAAAGCCTTTATTTCATCCGAGGATAATGATCACTGATCAGCAACGGGAGATTCAATTCAAGCGAAGGAAACCGCAGGTGTATTGCAAGTAACGATAACAGACGGTGAAATTGCCACTCTTTTTTTCAGCTTCCACACCAAAGACGTGCGCTGGAGTTAATTTGCAAAACCCTGGCGGTCCTAGCGGTTATTACACAATCGATCCCGACGGTTTCGGAGGACTGCCTCCTTTTTCAGTGTACTGTGATTTGCACGGAAGATGGGTAATGGTGTCTTTTACCCACGACGTCTATGGCGTCGAGGTAGTCGACGGTTATGAAGAGCCGGGGTCATTTATTCGAGACGTCACTTACTCACACTCACTGCAACAAATGGCCGCGGCGATATCCGTCTCCGAAAACTGCAGACAATTGATCAGTTACACATGCAGCAAATCAAGGATTATGGCAAATTACGGTGACTTAGTTGGGGGGCCGTATACTTGGTGGGTAGCCCGTGATGGGACCCGCCAGAACTATTGGGGTGGAGCTGACCCTTCCAGCTACTCATGCGGATGTTACAAAGCCATGACCTGCTACAAATTTCCAAAATTCAAATGTAACTGTGACGCGAACGATCTGGGGGAGAGAACTGATTATGGTTACTTGACAGATAAGAGTAAACTCCCTGTGACACAGCTAAGGTTTGGAGACACTGGGAGTAACGACAAGGATAAAGGGAAATACTCTTTAGGTCCATTACATTGTGTTGGGGAGATTTAGTAGATCGATTCACCCATGAGGCCTTGAAGAAACACCCTTTTCACCCTAACATCAGCGTGTAGATTCTCCTTTCTGTTCTTTATACATTTCCTATGGGACTAACAAAGAGAATTTAGTTTATTCCAAGAGCTTTTCTAGCGTGCGATCATTTTCTTAAGTCTCATGAGCCTAATGTTTGATTTAGTAGTGAAACCTTTGAGATTAATTAGATGCTAGTCGCCCTGAAGGTTAAAGGGTTAATTAAAACTGGAACCAGATCGCTTTAAAACAAAACAGTTCATGAGCAAAACAAGCACTGAGATTTTATCACATTCCTAACCGAGCACCCACCCTAGCTACAATAAGAATTTTTAAAACTAGTTGTCACTGTACCCAGTTATGATGGTAGAGGCATTTGTTCACAAGGTTACGTTATAATACACTTGCAATCTATGGAGGTTAAAGATGGGCTGCGGTGCTCAGCCAGTAAACGTATGTTTTGGAGATGAAACTGCACAGCCATTACAAACATGTAAATATATTGTCTCGTCACATTTTGACGCGTTCAACGTGGAGGTTCCAGTAATATTCATGAAGACCAACGGTGTTCGTTCTTGATTAGGGACAGCTATGTGCTATGTGTATTTAAATAAGATTAATTAACAATCATTCCTTGAGCGCGCCAACAAGCACCAATGGAATAATTGTTTCATTAAATTTCATTAAATCCTGAACGTTTCGATATTGGGAGCTTTTTCAGCTCTACAACAATTGGTGCAATACATTTCCATATAAAGTGACTCGGAATATGAGCTGATAACTGGAGTTGATTGAACCAATCAGAACACTAGAAATGCAAAATTCGGAGTTGGAAATTTCATAAAAACTGCATATACATAACACATTTAAATGAAAGTTGGCTTGTAAAAGAAACTCGAAGTAATAATAGGTAATTTATTACAGAATGCGTGCACCGTGTAAACCGTAAAATATAACACACAAAATGTATCCTCGTACAGCAATAAAAAATCTCTTACCGTCCATTGACAAGCGGTAGTTGATAATTTCAATTAAAAATACCGAACTGATAAAAACTAAGAGTAAATAGACTGCATCAGTGTTGTGATAAACAAACTCAACAAACTGAATCTGTAAGAGATAAATGAAATCTTTTTCTGAAATTAAAAAAATGAGCAACTTAATAATTCAGCCAATTAATAACCACGTTATTAGTCGTTTAAAAACTACTTTGTAGCGGGAGTTTTGCTGCTCGCGCGAATAAAAGTGCTCGCGGGCGTTAACTCAGTGTTCATCTGTAGCTTGTCAATTCGTGACATACATCGGTCACCTTTCTTCGTCAAACTGAGAAAATGTCAGTGACAATCATGTGTTTTATGTTTTTGTCTCTGACTCCATCTGCTGAAGAGCCCTCAGCGCTTTCTGGGCAGCTGTTGATTTTGCAATTCGGAAATTTCTTCCTGTAGCAACGAAAGTTCCACAACCTGATACAGTCAGGGTACATTTAAATTTACCATCCACCATTCTCTCGACCGGCCTATAAAGTGTTTCCACAAAAAGAAATTGAAAAAAAAGGACAAAATGAGGAAAAAAAGAAATTGACCTGATGAGCTTTCTGATCAACTGGTCCATAACTGACACAGCTGTCTGAGAGCTATACGAAAGTGTTCTTCCTTCGAAATAGAAATGTCACTGTATCCACTATTAAACGTTATAAATGAAGTATACGAGTGGTACATACGAAAACTTGGCTGCACCGGGCATCATCTCCAACAATCGCCGCACGGCTGACATGGGAGGATGGTCTGAGTAGTAATCTAAAGAATAAACCATAAACATTGGAGCAACTGTGTATAACTAACGTTAGGCCAAAACCAAAGTAAAAACGAAAAAACAGTTCGACGGGAGGAAAAATGAAGGTGACCAAGGCTTTAACAATTTTATTCACTTCTGAGTGTTTGAAAAGTTGGCGCACGTTTTTGAGTCCAGTTACAGAATGAAGTAAAGCAAAATTAACTATAGGTGTAATTCAGTAGAGGAGATATCTGCATACTCACCTATCGAGGGCTTGAGAATGGGCAAATAGATTTCCCACACCCTTTCAAGGTCTGCGCCACAGTCCAAGTAAATTGCACCAGCGACAGCCTCAAACAGGTCACCCAATGCCTTAGGTACCTCTACCTGCTCAGAATCCTCTCTACCCTCGGTCGCCATCACAAAAACACTGGAGTAAATCTAGAATCAGAAGGAAAGCTTTTATAAGTCGGAAGAAGAAGAGCTACATCCTTCATTCATCGGGGGCTTTAATCAAACGACGTTATGCGAGTCGAGATTCTCGACTCGTACATCTTGTGCTTCCATAAATTTGTTTATAGCCCGAAGCAGCATCTTCCTCACTATAACTTCATCTCACCTCGTTATTCTTCTCATGTGTTGTCGCATGCTTCATCTCTTTCTCTTTCAGCTTTACCACAAAAGTGTTCACCATGCCAAACAGCTGTGGCGACAATGATCTCAAATGTCTAGGAAAGCCCAATTTCACCGCCAGAACAGCAAAACTGTAGTTGTTTACCACGGCAGAACGCAGATCAGTCAGCTCGCCTGGGGACATGTGTCTGTGTTGTATGTACAAATGGCGCATTACTAGAAAATCCAACAATGCATCTCCCAAGAACTCCAGTTGCTCATAGCTGTTTCTGATAGAGTTATAGTCCCGTGGTAAGGAACAATGGGTGAAGGCTTGCAGTAGCAAAGATTTGTCGTGGAAGTGATAATGTAGAGCTTCCTCCACGTCCTTGAACTCGTCACTAGTCGACCCATGTTCAGAAGAGAACCCACCGATAGGTGGAATAGGAACAGTTACGTCGTTTGACGACATGTTTTCTACCATTGTTTCAGGAGCTTGGTGAGGTACATCGTGGAATTTTATGGTCGAAGTTGGTTTGGGAACTGAATCGAGAGCGAAATCGTCAGAAGATGAGTTATCTACTAAGTTTTCATCTTTCTCCTGTCTCGCTATTTCCATACCCAACCATTCCAGAAACTTGAAAGCCCCGTCGGATCCAAAACACAAAAGGAATGCACCAATAAGGGCTTCCGTGCAATCAGCAATGGACTTATCAGAGCAGCAGACATGAAGGTAGGAGTTAAGTTGGACGTCAGTGGATTCACCCTGCTGGGAATCAGCGTTGTAACCTGAACTTTCCGTCTCCGCGAAAATACTTTCATCGTCTTCCTCGTCATCAACCTCATCGGAAAATGTGTCTGGAATCAAGGAGAGATGTTCGTAACCCGAGTTTCCAGCGTTGCTGTCGTCGTTTAGATAGAATCCAGGGGGCAGCCAATTTACCAAAGGGTTAAACATTCGGGTAAACATATACGACGGGAGACCACGTCGCCTTGCCAGGTAAAACTGCTGCCGGTTGCTAACTTTGATACCCCGAAGGAAAGATAGAACGCCTTCGTTCTCGAGCCTGTGTTTGAAGAAAACGGAAGAAGATATGGCAAATTTCTCAAACGAATCGCCGAGAGCTTCAAGACGCTCGAGAGAAAATACATCTCCAGCCGAGGTTGTTGTCAGGGCACGTAGAATCAAGGATGATGACGGGCCACAGGTTCGATAGAAGTTTGAAAGAAGCGGGTCCGTCCAAATTGAGATGGCAGACACTTCGCTTTCTTTGTCATCTACTAATATTGAATCGCAGTCAAATGCTCTGGGCTTTGTAGGAAGGGGTACATTAAAATCCGACAGCTTATGTGGCCAAATGTCTTCTTTTTCTTTACTGAAGGTCAGTGGACTTTGATGAGGTGCTGGACGAAAGAGTGGTTTGCATTCTTTTTCAGTGCAATAATTTTCAAACAGAAACTTCTCAGAACTCATTGACAAACAGTACGCTGTGGCATCATGAAAGAGCTCCACGGCAAGACTTTTGGCAGCAGATTTCTCAGTCAGTTCTACTTGGTTGGAAATCTTGAGATCCATAAACACTTCGGGAAGGTCTGTGGAGAAAGAAGAGCTCGGGTTGTCTTCAGCCACTGCAGAGGACCTCTTGCTGTTTTTCTCACCAGCAGAAGAATATTTTTCTGACAGAATTTCCTCGCCCATCATCTCTCCAATTGTCACTACTGGCAGTGGAACATCATTTGGCCAATCCACAGCTCCTATACCGAGATCCCTTGCAACCCGGCATCTCAGCTCCTCAGCAACCAAAAGTGATTCCATACGGTACAGTAAGGCTGGCAGATTGGACAACTGCCGCCAGAGGTACCCCGGCACAGGATGAATGGAACACAGCTCAGGAATCATAAAAACCTTAGACCTCTTTGACCGCTTGGAATTCTTCTCTGGTATAGCCAGGTGTTGTCCCTTGAAGTTCTGGTATCTCGGTAACAGGAAGTTAAGTCGTGATGATGTGTGATCCACATCTAGCATGGGCTGGTCCAAGGATACCTCCACATCGTAACGAATTTTAAAGTACTCTGCAAAAGTACCAGCTACGTCAGTATTTGGAAATGGGTCTGCTGGGCTGAGATCGTAGCATATTTCAGCCACATAGTAATGGCTTCGTTTCTCGTTGTAAGAGGCTGTTACAACTGCATCTCTGAAAATCTCAGCGTTGGTGATGTCAGGTGGCCCTGGATAGACAGGATTTTTAAAGCTGACAAGTTTACTCTCTAAGGAGAATATGAAATCAAATGCAATTTCCTTGTGATTGTTTCGAGAAGTGCCAGCGAGAGAGCGTCTACTGGAGACATCCTTTAGAAGTGCAATGTAATACCCAGAGGAAGCAATGGTTGGGTCAAACGATATGAAGGTTGCTGGAGATTCCTTTTTCGGTCTTGCGATCTCCTTGAAGATATACTCGGTGAATCTCTGCAGGAGTGAAAGCTGGTCAGCGGTCAGGACAATGGGATAAGGACAGCACTCAGTAACAGAAGCAGTTACCTCCCCTGCTCTGTCAAATATTGCCATACAAGGCAACTGTGAAAGAATTGAAAATACATCTTCATTTTAATTAAAGCTTAAAAGTGAGGAGTGGAAACAAGATCACAATTTGAATTGCATTTATCAGTTCTATTGCCATCAAATAAGGGACTTCTAGTTAACAAATTTTTAGCAAAAAAAGATCCGTTGAATGTATGAAATATCATTTTAGAGGGTTCATTTCATATTTTCCTTTAAGTTTGGAAATATTCAATAAGGTTGAAACGAAATCAGTCCGAGGGCAAATTCGGTTGATTAGAGTCCTAAACTACAAAAAGAGACTCAAATGAGACGTTATTATTCTGACAGTTTTCTAACTTCATACTTTTCCAAATGTGCCGCATTCATTTTGAACTATTTAACCTCCCCTACCTCCCCTTCCTCCCCGCCCCCCACCCACCCTACCCTTCCATGATCCTTATTCACGCCATGTATATTCATCTAACCTTGGGTAGTTGTTTTCTGGATAGAATCCCAAGACTGTAAGAACCTGAGGTAGACTGAATTTTACTTCTTGACCTGACAGCACGTTCAAAGTTCAACGGTTTGGTCAACTCCATGGTGAGAGCATAAACATAACATGGTTCGTCGCAAACGGGGAAGTTGTTTTCTAGCAGGGTAGGGAACTGCAAAGGAAATCAAAAAGAGCCATTGTAAACCTCGAGTGCAACAGATGCCATAGAGATTTTTGAAGAAGAGCTATTACATTGAGTCAGTGGCACATAGCCTAGTTCTAAGTTATATGCTTCTAGTTCAATATAAACAATAAAAAAATAAACTGATTGTCAGGATTTCCGTGTAAACGCTGTGACCATTTTTTTTTATCTTCTTTTGAAAAAATCTTTAAAGACCCGTTGTCTCTGATCTCGACGAAGCGAGTTCCATTTATTTTTCAACCACTTACATTTTTATTATATCTGTAACACGACATTCTTGTAAATCAGGTGAATTATCTATTTTATCATTTGGTACGAGTAGAAGTACAACGTTGTAGGAGGTAACTTAGTGTTCGTATGTATATTTTATTCATAATCTTACAATTCCTGAAGGAATAACTGTGGGTGAATAAAGTTGACTTGATTTGATTTCGAGGATAAATCGAGGGTAGGCAAAGCGAGAAATGGAAACCATGTTGGTACCTTTTTCTTGTAAGCTCGGTTTCTCTTTATAGTTCCGTCCATTCCGACACCACCATCCGCAACTTCAAAGTCACACGGTTCATGTTGAGCCGTAAGATTATAAGCGCGCAACCTACGAAGAATTGGAAAAGACACGGGGTGCATCATCTTCAAGAATAACAAGTATGATTCTCAATTGAAATATGGATGAGGAAAAAAGGGCGATATGACAGAAATGCTACAAGCTGTATGTTGAACCCAGAGAAGGTACATTGTGATGTGGATCCCACCTAGTAGTTGATGCATTGAAGGTTCCTTTTACTTGATTTATGGAGCATTTATTGATCTTTCATGTATTACGTGCTAGGGTTCAAGGGTTCTGCAGATTTGTTATCTGTGCACAGGAACTTTCCCTTGAGTGTTGAAGAAAGCAATTCATTAAGGATTGCTTTTCAGGATTGCTTTTCAGGATTGCGTTTCGTCTAACTGTCGTAGATTTCTTCAGGGAGTTTTTTACAAGTTAGTTGTTTGTCATATCGGGGTATGTTAGACATTTGGGCTTCTGCAGTGTGTTCGTCATAACGAGGATTTCGTTATATCGAAGTTCGTTACATCGAGGTTTTGTCTAATACATTTTACAGTAACTTTGGCCGGGCTGAAGAGTACCGTTCGTTATACCGAGGACTTCGTTATATAGAGTTTCGTTAAATCTAGGTTCTACTGTATTAAGTTAGTTAAGTGTACCTGAATACAGGTTGAAGATCGTCAGTCAGTTCTCCCCTTACGTGCAACAGTCGACAAGCCTCCAGAGCAGCAAGCATTTCACACTTGACTCTGGCTTTTCTCACTTCATCCTCATTAATGTCAGTCTTCTTCAGTGTTACACTGCCCTGGATGACAAAATATGCGAAAATATATAAGGGAAACAAATCTTCGAATGAGGATCCACTGAAACGTTTGCACCCTAACATCACTGTGCGTTTCCTTCATACTGCTCCCAATACACTTCATAAGAGCTTTTTCATTTGGTGATCATCCTTTTATTCCAGTGACCTTAAAGTGTGATTTCAGTGGTAATATTGCGAGGAGAAATAAGATACGAATTACTCTTAGGAGTCAAAGAGTCAATATCTGGAGGCAAGCCACAAGACCAGGCTCCAGTATACACTTGTCTTTTTGAGTCGCTGCTTTTATAAAATAGCATTGCATGCCAAAATATATCCAATGGAAACTGAAAAGCTCATAAAAACAGGCTGAGGTTCAACAAAACCACAAAAGAGAACATGAAATTTTAGTAACACAAGTCATGAGCTAATCATGATTGTTCCCATTTCCTATAATTAATGAGTTTTTAATAATCATACCTTTGTAGGTTGGTAAACGGGAGAGTTTCGGGGGAGGTGCAGTGTAGCAACAAACTTTACTTCCTGGTCTGACCACACTTCTTGTATTCTACACACAGGGACTGGATTGCCCATTCCACCACTGGGGAACTTGCTGCAATAACTAGTTAACAGTGCATAGGATTGATGAAAAGAGTTATTTTTTAATGGCTGATTGAGATGAAATCTGTAAATTATGTTTTTCTTGCACAGTACATTTTTCACAAGCAAGGGAAAAAGAGTGAGAAACCAAGAAACATGTATTATGGACTTGAGTAATTACCCACTGATGCACTGAAATGGAGAGAGGGTGGTGGGCTGGAGTATGTAAAGGTTTCCATTTGTCCAGCCAGCCCCCAAATGAAAAACTACCCCCATGCCTGGCACATCTCGGCAACCTTAACATAAGCCCCTATTCCAGGCAACTGTTGACATTGATTGGACCAGTGTTAGGAGAAAAAAAAACAGGAGGGGTTGGGTGGGGGAATGCTTGAAAATGACTATTTCTGTCTTTGAACTGCTGTGGAGTAACTGTGACCAAATCACTCAAGAACTCAAAGATACCAGCTGTTATGAAGTTGCACTGTTATATATGAGCCTAGGCCCTGACCAAACAAGCCTCCTAAGTTTTAGTTTATTACAGTCAACTTTGTGTAATTGTCATTTGACTAAATTTAACATTGCCATTCACACCTGTTAACCAGAGCAATACTGGAGAGAAGATCAACCTCAGCGCCTACTTCACCAAAGGGTTGATAGACATCCATCAGGCTCTCTTGAAACAGTTTCCTTATCTCTGAACCTGGAGGCCGGCTGTTTGGACACCTGTCCATTAAAAGTTTCTCTATCCTCTGAAAAGTCTGCAAGCAATAATGATATCTTTAGTTGCAGTGAAGGTAAACAAAATATAAGCTCACTTATCATATTTACCTATTCAAATTAAACATCTTTTAGCTTAGCTATTGATCCCAATCTTTGCAAATTAACAAATGAATGCAAAATCACCAAATTTTGTGCATCTGAGAACAAAAACCACACTGGAATTTGTAGTTGTAACTCAAAGCTGCCTTCACATTTATTTTGTAAACAGTCTAGCACCATTCAAGGCAATTTTAGCCACTTGCAAAATTTTTTGAAGGATGTAATTTCAGGTTTAAGAAAGTCTGTTCCTCCCAGGTTTCACCATAATGAATTCCAAAGATTCCTCTGAACCAATTACATGTATAAACAGTACCTGGTATTTCTCCTCTGTCTTAAGCAGTTCTTCTTCTCTCACAAGAACTACAAGGTTGCCTCCAGCAGACTTCAGTTTACTCTTTATGCTGTAATAACTCTTGTAAGTATTTGGCATACCCAAACGAATCAACAGACTACATCTCTTGGCATACAGTTCTTGTTCAATTTCAAATGTTGCAACCAGAACATTCACAGAACCATCTTGAACACACACCATTACACTGTCATCCACTTCTTCAGAAAAATTTGACTCTTTCATTTCTTGTTTTGCTTTACTACCATATATGCATGCACTCCTAAGGAAGCTGTACTTGAAAACTGTACTGGACAGTTTCTTAAGAAGTGAATTCAGTGCCTTCGCAACAATTGTGCTAGGAACAAGAATAACACAAAGCGGATCATTGCATTGAGTTTTAGTCCCATAAGATGCTTGCACCTTTGAATGATTTGTGGCTTGAGGATTGTCTTGACGTTCACAAGAAGGATTCTGGCCTATGACAAGTGATTCGGTGGACTGGTTAGGTTCCTTGCATAGGCTCTGATCAGTATCTGAAGTTTTCTCTGAGTCATTTTTCTGCTGGTGTTCAGGTTTTAAATGCATGGATGTGCGAAAGAGAAGTATTGTTCCTAAATCAGTTAAGTCATTCTCAGAAATTTCCAACTTTTCTTGTTCTAAAATACTGATAACTAAACTAATCTGTGTTCTACAGAACTGTAAAATAAGCACAATCTCATTGTCTATGGACTTCTTCTCCAGCTTTTCAATCTCCTTAACAATGATTTTTGCCACATACAAGGTACACCACGATCCCAACAATAAAAGAACCCTGTAACCCTCAGTCAAAACATGTCTTACAAATGCTACACAAGTGTCAGTCACTTGATCTATTCTGTAACCTTTTAGAAATAACAAAGCACTTTGTAAAATATCACTCAGATTGGAAATACGTTGATCCTGGACATGACTGCTGGTAAAACAGCATATTTCCATTTCAGTGTATTCTCCATATTGGTTCAAAGCCAGAAGATCACTAGAAACAAATGTTTTGCAATGAAATATCTGCTCCAGTGAGGTTAAGAAGATTTCCATATCCTTTGAACAATCTTGATGGCGAAGAATTTGTGATGAAAGGCCTACAATCTGTGGTCTAGAATCAAGTTTACTAAGTTCCATTTGCTTTAGTATAACTGCAAAATGGTTCTCCTCTTTTAAGGCAAGATGGCATTCATCAAAAATAATTAAACTGCATGATGACAGGTCCACTGTTCTAGCAATCAACATCCATGCAAAAGCCTTCCCTGTTGTCACTATGATGTTATACATGGAGAAAATGAAGTTCCACTCATCTTCCACAGCTGTTTTACTGAAAAATGCTTTGGCAGATAGGAGACTTTGCTCTGATATTCCTGTTAGGAAAGGCTCCACAATGGTGGCTGATAAAATAATGAAGAAGATCAATATGAAAACCTAATCACCTCTTTATGCAGCTGGCTGGTATGCAATGATGATTCAGCGATCAGTAAGATACTTAACCCTGATTTCTGCCCCACATATTAAAATGTTAGCACAAGTAACCCTTAATAGCTACCAGCCCTAAACATGACCTAAAATATATTTCTCTTTAAATTATTGATACATTTTTTAAACTCAAAGGTGATAAGTAAGAAAAACACCAAATAAGCAATATGATATGATTTAAAACCAAATTCCCGGAGTTAAAATTATTAGGAATGTGTCGCTCGCAATGCAGAGAACTCGCGTTTTGATCTTGAGATTAAATGTATTTTAATACCGCAAGAAAACTATTCAGGTAGAACAAAAATTTGCCTAGCCTTTGGTAAGTTTCCTGACTTACGCTATCAATTTTAGTAAAATACTTTCTGTTTACCTCAGCAGCGCAGAATAACCGAATCGTGAAATATTAACTGTACATTACTCTTATAAGGTGCACCGGATCTAACCGCAGCTCCCTGTTGAAAAAGCTGTGTGTATTAATAATAGCTTTGACTACCCAACCTCACCTTTCTCATCATCCACCAGAAGAATTATTTTGCCACATTTCACGCTTTTTCTCCAAAATCCTTGACTCACATTAAACGCGATGAATGCTTTCGACTTGATACTTGACACACAAACAGCGCAATCTTGTTCACTCGCCAGCACTCGTTCAGCTAAATCAATAGAATGATGTGGCCTTAGATACGACATCTCCTGGGCCCTTTTCATTTCATCCATGTCTTCGTTACACCAATTCCGAGAGCTAGTAATGTAATTTTTGGACTACATGTGTATTATTCACGTTTCTCCTTCAAATGAAAGGGAGATCCACTATGTTAGTTCCCAGTCTTCACCAAATGACGAAGGCACTGTACAAAACGCCAACCAATGGATGTAGGGTGAGGGGATGGTGATCCCGATCGATGGATGCATTTCCAGGTTCATATCTGCACTTGAGTGTGGCATTTAAACGCTGCTTTTGCCCCAAGGGTCTGGAATTGCGACAAACCTTTCTTCAAAAGTTCAAATGCCTGGGTGGGGATGTTGAAGCTTCTAATTGATTGACCCATAGAGACTGGTGACAAGCAGGTAGAACAACAGAGAAATAAATCAAAAGATGTTTTGTTCAGACAGATTCCGTTTTTCAGTATTATCTTTGTACGGTAATTCTTGAGTAAACAAAATGCTGATGAAATACTTGTGCCAAACCCTAAGTTAAATAAAAAGTAGCATATGGGCTCTCCGTTAAAAAAAAAAAAAACAAAAAAAAGGCTATTTTCCTTCCCCTCCTCGAAAAAGTGGATAACATAACAGTTTAATGTTTTTTTCCATGTCTTTCTTCTCTTTATTAGCACCTTGATTAGTTTTCTAACATTTCTAAAAAGTTAGAAAATTCTTGTAAGAATTTACTCTCATTGCATGAATATATTTGTTCATCTTCTGATTCTTTGACCATTAAGTTTCCTTCTGAGATGAAGTTCTATTATTTTTATTTTTTGGTGTTTGTAAACCCTATCAAAATATTATTTTAGGTTTTAAATAATGTTTTTCTTTCCTGGTAAATTTAAGTTTTTGGATAAAAAAAATCCTAAAAAAATATATGCTTGACTTTTCACATGACAGAGCATTTCTTTTTGTCATAGCCACATGACATTGTAGATTTTGTGACAAAGTCTGGAACACAGCTTTCCAGAAGACGACTATCAAGGAACCCTTTGAAAACTCTCACGGAACAGGCATTTATGAAGGTGTGATTGAAAACAGAAATAGCTATTTCAGTTTTTAGGTTCCATTCATCTTCCTCTGGATCATAGCCTTCAATTTTCAAGTGTAAATCTTTGACTCTACAACCTGATTTGCCCACACTCACAAGGAGCAATGCATACAAATTTCCATCAATGGACAAGAGATTTCTCAAATCTTTGGGTCTGAAATCAAAACACTTAAAATTTGAAATAAACTGCCACACATTTGTTGCTGGATCATACACTTCGCAAGGCTGTATGGCCTCCCCAGCATTGATTCCTCCGGCAATAAAGACCTTTCCACCAACCGCAGCACCATAAGTCCAATCTCGAACCACATGAGTGTTAGGAATTTTGTCCCATTGGTGATTACCAAGGTGGTACCTTTCAACATCACTCACAAGGGTGCATTTGTTCCCTAGTTGCCATTTTATTCCACCAATAAAATACACAAAGTCATCGTGAGCCACAATGCACATATCCTCTCTAGAATGCAGATGGTTCAGTCTCCCTATCAGTTCCCATGAATTTGAATCAGGGTTGTACTTTGTAATAGAGAAACTGTGTTTCTCTTCATCACAGAACAAGCGGCGGGCATGCAATCTACAGAAATCATCAAAATTTTTAGATCTATTGGTACAGGGTTCTGCTTCCAAGGCATAAATTTCATCTTCATCTTTGATAAATATTTGACGCATATATTTAGTTTCCTCTATGGAGGGGAGTTGCACCCAGCTGTCGCCATATGGATTATAGGATACATGTTTCCAGTATTGCTCATTTGTAGCCACTGATTCTAGAACAGTGCCATACAGTTTTCCATGACAAGAAAAGACTGGACCATTTCTGATATATTTAGAAGGCATCTCACCCACTGTGCACCACTTATGCTCCTGAGGAAAATAGCACACAATATCTTTGCTTCCATAACATAGTAACACAGAAGTCTCGAGGGACCTTCTTGGACGTAGGATTGATGGATTGTCGAAGTCTTCTGCGTCAATCAATTGCAGAGCCTCTTCAACGAGACCTAAGCAATCATTGTCCTTTACCAGGTCATCGGTCACAATATTGCTGCAGAGAAAGTCACGCGATATGTAAACAAGGCGAACGCGAGAAAAGAGTTCAGCAAAACACTTCTTTCTTCCTCTTTTGTCACGATTTATCCACGCTAAAATTATTTCAAATACATCTTTCTCGGCATTTATTTCAATTTCGTCTTCTGAAATCCACATTTCGATTTCTTTGCTCGATAAATTCAGGAACGCATCTGTTTTCGAGATGGTGGAAAAATTTTTGAGAACAAATTTTTTGCTTAGGGAAGAAAGTTGCTCGCTTTGATATCTCTCGAAAAAATAGTAATTTGAAAGACAATTTGAAATATTCAGCTCTAGTTTCGGTGCTAAAACTCCCTCCGCGAGAGTTTTTAAGTCGTGGAGAAACAGAAAGTCGGCCATAGCAATGATCTCACGAGCTTCATCGGCTGCGATCTCCACCTGACCACTGTAGATAAACTTCAGCGTGTTTCTCATAACAGCTTCGGTGAACATCTCCAAGCGAATAACTCCTTCCTTAGACTCTTTCATCTCACTGTTAAGCAGCTTTTCAAAGAAGGGACTTGCTTTTGAAAGAATTTGCTTGTGAGCTTTGAACTCGACATCTTCAGCAACAAGAGTGACATCAAATGGCTGGTCGAGTGCTTCTTTCGCAATACACGATTTGAGGTTTTCATTGCTTGGGCGGAGAGAAATACATTGTCTACAACTGCCAGCATTGTTTGAATCGATTTTGATCATACTCATTGTATGGAAGTGACCAAATTGAACAAAATCTGTTTAAAAGGCACAGACACTATTCAGCTGCTGCCCGCCTCTATTTCCTCAGTGGTGGAAAAAAATTGGGGGAGAAACTGGAAGCTAGTGAGGACAGCGATCGAGAGGCGCGAGCGAGAAGTCGTCACGCGCGAGCAAAGAGAGACTTGCACTGGTGTGGGTTGGAAAGGTTAGCGTGAAACAGAAACACTTGGACTTCAATTTTCTTCAGAACTACAACTGGACATTTACAGGTTGACGGATGGAAACGTGCAAAGACACAAGTTGTCCTCCATACAAAATAGAATTATGCACTATACGTTGCTTTCTCCAAGTAAAATTAGAATTTTCTTTAGAAGAGTTTATAGTGTGGTAACTTTGGCATGCAGATAAAAATTAAACTTAGTTTACAGTATGAAGATTGGTAAACATAAAGAAAAAGGCTGACAAATCACATAGCTAGAATGGAGTTGAAAAATAAACTTGACCCTTTAACTTCCAGAAGTGATTAACATAAAACTTCTCCCTATAATATCCATACATTATTCAGCAAACAGGTAATGAGAATGCTCAAACTTATCAGGTAGAAGCTACTATCCTGATCTAACACCATTTTCTCATAACTAATTTACAAGGAAACTTGTGGCAGTTAGAAGGGAGAATCAACAATCAGATCTTAGGAGTTAAAGGGTTAAATTTACTGACTTTTTGTCTTTGCAGTCCTGATTATCTTTGTTTTCATTTTTTTTTTCAAGTAAATTTTTTAAATTTTTACAGATTTCCCATTATTCTTATATCAATAGTTGTTTATTGTCTCTTTGAAAATCAGCTGAACAGGGAGTTGAAAAAATCCCAACAAGGAGTAATCCACTTGGAGATGTATACACAAGTAGTCATGAGGAACTGTGGAATCTAATAACAGTCACTCATAAATAGTTTTTGTCATCTCCCCAGATTAATCTTGAATTTAAGAATCTTTGGCACATTTCTTATGGTAAGTGAAATTCTTGTATTTCGTTGTAAAATGTCTCCAAGGGTAGCATTATTACAAGCATCCAGATTAGCCACCTTATCTGTGACAACATCATAAGTTCTCTCTGCAATACCATGTAAGTAATTGTGATAGAGGTCTCCTGTCAGTAGGAATAAGCTTCTGGGCTCCAATAAAAGTGACATAAAGTAGCGTTCATTCAGCATTGATGATGAAGCATTCTCCTGAAAGTAAAAAAAAAAAATTTCTTTTAACGCAATGAACATACATTAAGGGAAATGGTCAAAAGTATTGAGCATGATAAGGACTCACTTTAGGAATTTGAGCCCATGGTATCCCATCATAGCACCCCTCTCCTTCCTCGTAACACAAGGTATCTGCTATAACCCCACCTCCCCTACACAAGGTACCCATCAGAGATGGTAACTGCTATAACCCCTCTATCCTGCACAGGAGACCCATGGTACCTGCTATATCACCACCACCCCAAAAACTTAATGGCTATCTGATTTAATTGTTCTCATTTCCCTATATTTACTTTTAACACCATGGAATGATTATCTAAAGCTAGCCCTTACCTCTGTTTTCTCTGAAGCCTTTTTCAAAGGATGGTAAAAATCCAAAAAGGTGTGGGATCCAAGATTTATTGTTGAGACCACTGGATAGAACAACGGACCATCTTCGTGAGGCTGAAAGACAGGAAAACAGTTAGAAAATATAAAACTGCATGGGCTTTTGACAAAATACCTCCACTGTCTTCAAGAGTGGTTATATACAAAAGTCAAATTAGGCACATGCAGCTCAATCCTCCATGTCAGGGGAGCACTCAGTGCTTGTAAAATGAATGGATCTTTAAACTTGGAAATAACTGTCATTGTTTGATGTAAATGCCCAATATTAATGACACTGCTGTCCAGGAGTGTCAAAGTGACTGAAATTTTGACCACAAGAGCTGAAGACATTAATGTGGAAAGCTGTTTATCCAGTGAATGTTGTAAATCTAGTTGGTTCTAATTGGTTAGTGTGGCATCCATTGCATTGGCTTTCAGTTGGGTGGAATCATTCTGTTAGTTTATTAGGTTAATAGATATCTGATTTTTGTGGCTAGGTTGTTTTTTGTTTTTTTTATTAGAGTCTGTGATATTTCTCTTTTCAATGTGTATGTTAGTTTATACACAGATCTGTTGCAATTGAATAAATAATCATTTAGCAAATGTTGCAATAATATGTCAGCAACAAACTTCCATAAAGACTTGTGTACAAGCCACACCTTTTTGCTTAAGTTTTGGGCCAAAAATTGCGGGTGCGGCTTATACATGAGACCATTATTTGTCTCTAGTATCCAGACTTCCCGCGTGGTTACCAAGCAAACATTTTGCATCATTCTCCTGCACTTTATTTTTGGTCAAATTCCATCGTTTCCATTTTAGCTGTGGGCTCAAGCAATGAAGACAACTGTTGTCAGTCAAAGGGAAATCAATTAAAGAAAAGCTTTTAAAAGGTATTTTCAGAGTTGATTAACTTATCAACATCACTGCAAATACACAACATTAGATTTAGTTGAGTTTATTGTGAACATCTGTGAATAAACAACCATCCTTTTTTTTTTTACAAGAGTGCTTTTTTGGAGTTTCTTTTTTGCCAAAATCATGCTTGAAAGTTGGGGGTGCGGCTTATACACAAGTGTGGCTTACACACAAGTTTCTATAGTAACTTCTAAAAAAATCTCAGGCATCATTAAATGTGCAATTATACATTTGACAAAACATTGAGGGCCAATAGTATTAATTAATGATTTATCAACCTTGTTCCCAGGTTCTCTCTTCCTGACCTGTAAGAGGAGAAAACTGGGAACAAGATTGGATAATTAATCTAAACTACCCCACAAGTTGATTCTAAATTTTAAGTCAGTGATTTAAATGGTGGCTAAAAATATCATTTAAAATCTTACCATAATTCCTTGACCAGGTTCATACTCATTCACAAGGACATGATTTGGAGTGACAGTGTTAAAAACTGGCAAGGATCCAACTTGAGTTGTATATTTTTCCAGCCACTAAAATTGTGATGATCAAGTATTAGCAAAAGTCGAAGTTAAAAAAATCTAGAAATAGTCTGTTTTGAATCAAATTAAGGTCAGATCAAGTACATACCCTTGGCAGTTTTTCCAGCACCATCCCCTACATAGAACGAAGAAAAAAAAAATTATAGATTCAGAAAATTCAAGAATATAATGACTAACTCCTTGTTACATCATGAAATTCATTAACTACATTATTGAACAGAAAGATAAAGAAGGAAAATAAGAAAGAAAGAAAGGGAATATCATTGGATTTAACATGGAATTCTCAAAGCTAATTACCACTTGCAAGAATTGTATGACAAACAGTTGTTGGAATTTATAAAGAGCTCTTAACTCTTCTATTCCTGTGAGTG